TTCGTTTCTTTCTTTCTTTTTCTACAGCGTGGAGGCTTGGTCTGGTAGGTGGAAGCGAAGGGAGATGCCCGGTGGGACCCCTGTGCGGTCGCCGGCCGCCTCCCGGCAGGATGTGCCTTCCCGCGATGTAGCCGGGTTCTCCCCGCTGCAGGTGCTTCCTTGGGAACAGTCCCCGCCTCCACAGCCACGCACAGGCCTTACACCGGCGTTCTTTTTCACTAGTGAGGCGTAAATGCAGTTCAGTGCCCAGGTGACCTGAATTTCCTTCGCGGTTCAGTGATTAAGTTAATGACAATACCTTCATTACACTGCTCTTAGAATTAGCTAGGCATTAGTGCAGTACTTGGAAGCTCAGCCCTACACAGTATATGGCATGTCAACAGCAAATTGGTACATATAATCACATCCTAACAAGCAGATTGACTGCCACTTGATGAGAAATGTTAAATTTGGAACTTTGCTTTTTTAGTTAAGTAAGTAAACAAGGGGGTGAAGAAGGAGTTGCTTTTGAACTGCTGTTTCTGTTTTCTCATATGGTTTGCTTATAGTAGCATAAGCCGAGGCCTTAGTCCTAAGTAAGCAGATTCTTTAGCCAGTGGTACAGAAGCCCGCTGATTTCAGTGAGGATTGCTGGGGGCATGAAGACCCTGTGGAGGAAAAAGTGAAAAATATTAACTCTATCATTTGCAAACAGAAAGTTTTAGTGTAATAAAGTTTATTAAAGAAAATAATGTTCTGAACTTATAAGTAAATAGTTTAACGCAGGTCATTTTTGCTGAGACTCACTGAAATATGTGATGCTGTGATAGCTGGTTTTCCATAGTAACCAAGGACTAAGAGTGTCACTGTGATAGGAGTACTGAGATAATGACTATTAATGATTTGTCTTTGTTTTATTCTCTATACTTCTGTTTTCAATTAACTTAACAAAGTCTATTCGTACTAAATAAATACGCTGTGTTTTCAGTATATGTGTGTATATGCATTGGTCTATCTTGCATAAAGCATATATGGCCTTTCATCCCAAAGCGTAAGAACTTCACAGAAACTTTATACAGTCCTTTGCTGACACTGACGTTCCTCTAGGGCAGGGTGTCACTAGATGCATCATACTTTGATTAATAATAACAGCTGGTATAAAGGAAATTTTGTTCTTAATCTGAAGTAGGAGAACTTTTTAACTTCAATTGCAAAGAATGTAGATTTTTCAGGTAGTCCAGATTACTTCCTTTTTCCAAAGAAGTAATAAGTCACGGATCAGGGAACCCTTGTTATTTTTAACCTTGTTTTATCTGCTGTTACAGTAGTATACATATTACTGCATATGTAGTGGGTAAACTGAGGAATTTATTACTAGGTAGATTGAATACAGTCCAGATTTCAGCTTTCAGTCATGTTTTGTGGTTATGCCCATGCAGTACACAGGATTTGTCATCTTAATCAGTTTTATGCCAAAAAATAAGCTCAGTTTCTGTTGTAATGTAGAGTTCGTGTAATTTTTATTGCCCGGTCCTTTTACAGTCTTCACATTCCCTGTATAATAGGAATGTGATTCACAGTCCTTGCTGGATTTGTTCTGGCAGCTAAGGCAGTTATTGTCCTGTAACTGTGGGAGGGACTCCATGTACTGCAGTTCAGTGTAATAGGTATCATAAATCAGCCATCGTTTTTCTCATTTTGCCACCCTACATTATTGCACTTCAGTGGTTTGCTACGCTATAAATTGATGAGTTGCCTCATCTGTTTTTCCCACCTTTGAGTGAAGACCTTCAGCAGGGGATAAGGTTGGGCAGTTGAGAAAGGTAGTCTGTTTATTGCAGCCACTAAATCATGTAGGGATTAGGAATTAATCTTTCTTCAAGAGAGATAGGTTAAAAGATCAGCTAAAGTTTAAATGATGGTGGGATCAGTTTTCACTCTCTGTTAGTTAACTTATAAAACACAAGTAATGAGATGTTTTTATCTCCACAGCACCCATGCATGGTGAGGAAACTTTATAGCATGGAGAAGGCAATGCAGGGGCAATGTTCTGCAGAAGAGGAAATGCCTTCCTGGGGTTCAGTTGTAAATGAAAAAACTAGGAATTGAGTTGAATGATGAGTGAGAAGAGCTTCTGCAAACAAGACTTCCTGTAAAGAAGGAAGGAGGGAGTAAAGCTATGATTCTTCATCAGCTTCTCATGTGTGGAACTCTTGGGCTCATAATGATTACAGTTCATGAGCTGTCTTGCTGCTGGAGTTGTTTCCCCTTTGTATTGTTTTCCATCTCCTCGTTCCTCTAACCCGAATTCTAAAGAATTACGAGTGGGACTAGTGTTTTTGCTGTTAAAGCCGTTGCATTTTTTAGCTCACTGGTTACAATGGAAATATTTTTATTTGTGTTGTTTTAGGTGCTGCCTTTCATCTATCGTGCCATTGGTTCAAAGCATCTTCCTGCCAGTAACATCAGCTTTGTTCATCTTGATTCCCATCCAGACCTTCTTATTCCTGTGAATATGCCTGCAGACACTGTATTTGACAAAGAAGCTCTTTTTAGGTGAGTCCTCGGTACTGCATCAGAATACTTTTAAGTCTGCTTCCTGCTGCCTTTGATTTACAGTGAATATTGGTATGACTGCGTAGAATGTATGAGCAAAAGAGGTGTAAGTCAGCCTCAAGTTGTGTCTTCTGTCTTCACTTTTACTGAAAACTTAATTTTTTTTGACGGAAAAAGTTATGTTTGTGTTTTCTGAATGTGGTCAAATATTTAAGTCACATATCAAGCAATTTAAGACTTCCAAATTTACTTTGTTTAGTTGTTCAGTAGTATATCATGCTATTAGGCCAATTAGTTCCTCTGAGTAACAGGACAGCACCCTGAGTGGGTGCTTTATGTCTGAACAGCTGTGGTTTTAAAACAGCCTTTCTCTCTTCATACTGCAAAATTGACTTTGAGATTGAAATAACATCTCCTATGTTGACATGGTGAATATGTGAAATTGAACAAGGTTTTCCTATTAAGATCATTAAGACCAATATTTTCCCCAAACTTCTTAGGTAGGTAACAAGCCACAGAGTGATCTTTGCTATTGTCTTTCTTTTCCTGTTTTAAAATAAGTATCGATTGCTTCAGTGTTATGGTGATTTACAGCAATGACTAGATGATGTAATTGCTATGTAAGTAATTGTATCACGCTACCCATAGTCACTATTTTGTTTTCTTTGTTGGATGAATAAGTTTTGTGGACTATATCATACACCTAAAAAAACAGGGTGTTGATAATCAGGAAAGTTGCTATCCTGTAGGTGCTGACTGACTCACTTTAATTACTGAGATTATAATTAAAATCTACTTGGAGCAGTTTACAATAAAATACTCCTTGAGGTCAGTTGGAAGTTATTTAGAACAGTGTTGATGATTCTTCTTGTACTTTCCTCTGTGTGATGTATCAAGAGAAAAAGGACAACAAATCCATGTAGTTCATAATCAAAGTGCCACACTAAGAGTGAAGCTGATTGCACTCTATAATTCTAACTTTTTTAATTCTACTGTAGACATTTTTGGTCTGTCTTATGAATAAAGATTTCCCTCTTTTTCTTTCTCTGATGAGGTGAACCTTACACAGAGTACTAACTTCAGATTATTTGTATGGGGGCTTTCAAGATGTGGAAGGTGTTTGTTGTGTTCTTGGCCATGTTTTATTTACAGGGAAAGTAACTATTATCTCCAGCCTTTCTCCATTCATTACAGTGAATTAAGTATTGAGAACTGGATTATGCCTGCTGTTTACGCTGGCCATATTTCTCAAGTAGTGTGGCTTCACCCACCCTGGGCTCAGCAGATCTCAGAAGGAAAACACCATTTTTTAATTGGGAAAGACATATCAACAACTACAATCAGGTAAATTGTCTGCTGTCGTATGCTAATAATATAAAGGCTATCTCTGTAGCTTTTCATGAGTGTTTTTTTGTATTCTTGGATAAAGATGAAAATTTAATTTGTATTTGTGAGTTCCTTAGGTCCTACTGTGACTGACTATTTGTGTGCGTGGGTACAGTTAAAATTGTACCTTAAATTCTTTTTTTTATAGGTAATTGAAGCTATTCATATTTCATTTCAGCTACCCAAGTTTTAAATTAGTTCTCTTCATTAAAGTAAAAATCTCAGAAAGCAGTAATTTTTAACAGAGAATTTGGGTAACAGAAGGCAGCAATTAGATCCTCCTCAGTCCTCCCGTATCAGGACAAAACAAACCCAGTTCCCTCAGCTTCCCCATCATGTGCTCCGGCCCTCTAATCACCTTAGCAGTCCTTCTTCAGTTTGTCATCATCTCTCTTATCCTGGAGGCCCAAACCTGGGCAGAGTATGTCAAATGGGACCTCACTGGTGCTGAATAAGAGGATAAATCCCTTCCCTTCCCGATTCTGTTTCTCTGTGTGTTTTTGTTTGTTTGTTTCGTTTTTTTAAGTTAATATACTAGTTAAGCACTGAAACAGCTATACAGGCAGATGGTGAATTCTCCATTCTTCGATAAAGTCAAAACTCAACTGGATGAGGGCCTAGTCAGCCTCATCTGGCTTTGAAGTTAGTTCTGCTTCGATCAGATGATTGACAAGAGACTTCCAGATGTCCCTTCCAATCTTAATCATTCTGTGATTCAAGTTCCGGTCAGAGCCCCTCATCATTCTGCGGGATGCAGTCAATGACAATTTCACATTCACCATATTCACTGCATTGTGATTTTGTACGGCTTGAATGGACATTTACAAATCGTGTTTCTTGCCAGCATATCAGAATAAATCTTTTGAAGCAAGTTTAACAGAAGGCAGCAGAGAAATGCTTTTCCACCACCTAAAATAAAACACAAAAGCTCTACAATTCTGAATTTTAGGCCTAAAGTAAACCTAAATAAGACGACAAAAGCTGGTGCTTTCAGTTACATTTAACCATGAGAACTAGCACACATACAGAAATACTTCATGGTGGCTGAATAGCTCTCCCACAGATCCTCTGGTCGCCTTAGCAACCTTGAAAGCAACATTTCCATCTGCCTTTTGAAGACAGTCAGGTACCTTTTCTTCAGGTTCTA